GACGCTTTACAAATAATGATTAATTGATTTTCCTTCGGTGACTTTAATTGACAAACTTTGTTTTTACAACAAATAGTGAGTGAGTCAGATGGGGCCCTACTGTCATTGCAAAATGTGCATATTTTGAGACACTTCTGTGGCGGGGGTGGGGGGGGGCCTTGCCCTTTGACACAGACAAGCGTTATTCTGTCTTTTGTAAACAGATGTTGAAGTTCATCTTGGGTTTTTTTTGTCTTTCTGCTTTTTCTCCTCATTTTTGACCACAAACTATTTTAACACCACATGCATCGGGGTCTCTGATCGAGGGCTGCCTTTATTTGTCAAATCATGCAGGCCAAAGACCTTGTCAAAGACCTTACTCATTGTTGTGTTACAAAAAGCAGGTAAAAGACCTTACTTATTCAAAGTCAAAGTCAACTTAATTGTCAATTTCAAAATATGCCAGACATACAGTGGAATTGAAATTGCGTTTGTCTCCGTCCCGTGGTGCAATACAATCAAAATAAGGTAAAATAAGATAAGGTAAAATAGATAAAATAAAAATGAGGTAAAAATAAGATAAATAATATTTACAGTAATAAATTCTAAATTGTGCAAAAGGTACAAAATGGTAAATTAATTAAATAAAATAAAATTTAAAGAAAAAGTAAACTTGTGCAATATGTGCAATGTGCAGAGTTATTAGTCCAGAGTTCTGTAAACTTGTGCAATGTGCAGTAAACTGAGTGTACTTTTGAATAGTTAGCTTCAGAGTTATTAGTCCAGAGTTCTTGGTGGCAAACGGGAGGGGGTTTCAACGTCTATTACAGGGGTGCCCAAACAGTCGATCGCGATCGACAGGTAGATCGCTGACTGATTCTCAGTCGATCGAGATGTTTTGTCAATATAAAATACAATTGTAAAATAGAAAAGTGATTTCAATTTCATCTCATTGCAGTGTTTCCCACACACGATACCTGTGTGGGGAGCCCAAGTATACTTCCGACCTGTGTGTATTTAATTTTTCATTTATTCATGAAATTGCTGCGTGTATGAGAGAGCGAGCGAGAGAGCGAGCGGGGGAGCGAGAGAGAGAGAGCGCGCGCAAGAGAGAGAGTGCAGGCATGCGCAAGGATGTGCAGGTAAAACCGGGGGGCTAAATGTTTTACCAAAAAGTCATATATAGAAACTATGCTACGAGTGTTAAGCACATTTGATGTAGCTGCAGCTACTTTTCTCTGCTCCTCTCTGCTGTCATGACTGTGAGCATCACGGGGCACGAGACACACCAACAAACAGCGCAAACGCACACACACACACACACACTTGCACTGGAGCGCCAGCCACCACGCGAATTTTTTTACTTTTTACTTTTAGTGCTTGTGTACGTGTGTGCACGCGGGAACACACGTGATCCGGTCAAACGGTCGGTTGGACTTTACTCCGTTCACTCTCACCGTGTCTGCAGCTAATTTAACAAAAGCAACATCATCTCACAGCAGCCTGCTGTAGTCTGTGAACATCTCCACACAGATTAAAGTTGTTTGTTGTAAACTAAATTAAGGGAAAAACATATGTGATATAAATACAAACGTAATATTAAAATGTAGCCTACCCTAAAATAAGAGTTTAAAAAAATTGCATTATTTTTTACAGAACTCTCATTTATTATATCTGAAATTATTTTCTGTTTGTTGTGTGAGTATTAAATGCATTTGGAGGCTGTCGGTAAAGGCTACGGCTCACTATGTGGACTGGTAGATCTCTGCAGACTGGCAACTTTAAAAGTAGATCTTGGTTTAAAAAAGGTTGGGCACCCCTGGTCTAGTGTTTGTGGGGGCAGAGGGGGGGGAAGGAAGAGAGGGGAGAGAGTTAAGCTTCCTGACAGCTTGGTGGAAGAAGCTGTTTCCCAGTCTGGTGGAGCCGGCCCGCAGGCTGCGGTACCGTCTCCCTGATGGCAGGAGGCTGAAGAGAGGGGAGTGGGACACCGATAATCCGTTCAGCAGGGTCTTGCGGTTGGCAGCTGTGCAGCTCCCAAACCACACAGTGATGCAGCTGGTCAGGATGCTCTCGATGGTGCCTCTGTAGAAGGAGCACATGATGGATGGGGGGGCTCGTGTTCTCTTCAGCTTGTGGAGGAAGTAGAGGCGCTGCTGAGACTTCTTGGACAGTGATGTGGTGTTGGTTGTCCAGATCCTTACTGATGTGAACCCCCAGGAACTTGGTGCTGCTCACTCTCTCCACAGCAGCACCGTCAATGGTCAGTGGGGGTTTAGGAGTGGGGACTCTCCGGAACCTCCTTGGTCTTGTCGACGTTCAGGAAGAGGTTGTTGTCTCTGCACCACGTGGCCGGTTGGCTGAGGCCCCCTCTGGCCACACACATACCTGCTTCAGAACTGGTTTGGTGACTTTAACCCTGGGTCTGTAAACTGGCATTAGCATTACACTGATATGGTCAGAGTGGCCGATGTGGGGGAGGGGTGAAGCTTTGTAAGCACCTTTAACTGATGTGTAAATCATGTCCAGAATGTTACCTTCTCTTGTGAGAAAGGTCACGTGTTGGTGGAAGTGGGGTAAAACCGTCTTGAGATTTGCATGGTTAAAATCCCCAGCGATGATGAAAAATCTGTCTGGGTGGGCTGTCTGTTGCTCACTGATGGCGTTGTAAAGTTCCCAAAGTGCGTCGATTCTATCAGCGTTGTTGGTGGTGGGGGGAATATACACAGCGACCAGCAAGGTCGAAAGGACGGCACTTTACGATCATAAACTCCGCCAGCGGTGAACAGTGTTTACATACCACAGCAGCATCTCGACACTATGGAGGACTAAAAGTGCCAAAATGAAATATATAAATATATAATTAATTAAATCATTAAATTCGTCATCAATTATTTAATATTGGAAATAAATCAACAAATATATAAATAAATATGTAATTATTTAATTAATTAAATGCATGTGTTATTAAAGAATTATTTAAATGTGTCATTAATTATTTAAAATTAGTAATATATAAATAAATAATTTATGAAATACATAAATAATTAAATAAATGTTTAAATAATTATTTTAAATGTTCATTCATTCTATGTAAAAACACATCTATTTATTCCTCTATTTATTTAATTATTTCATGTCTCCTGCTCCAGCAGTGCATCATGAAATAATTTTATCTGTCATCCTCTCCCATCAAACTCAGTGGGCGGGATTAATGCTGATCGAGTCACAAACCATTGCTTTGGTCTGAAGGGTTGCCAGACTAGGCGGTTTCCTGCCAAACAAACAAACAAACAAACAAACATGGCAGCAATCACAGAGGATCTGCATGAGCTGGTAGCCCACACCGGACATGATGCTCTTGAACGGCAGTGGGTATGTCAAAAGCCGGGCGCCCTGGTCCGTGTGTGTTGCGGCCCAGTACGGGAGAAGCGCTGGAGAACTTCTTCTAAGTTTGCAAACACTCTTCGGTCAATATCTTGGTCAGAGAGAGCGGAAATAACTTCAATAAATCCCTCTGCTTTGCTAGCCACATGTTCAGGGTCCGAAATTCCAGCGTCAACATTCTCTGCCAGGTCTAAAATATCTGTTATCAACTCACATGAGAGCTCATGCAGATCCTCTGTGATTGCTGCCATGTTTGTTTGTTTGGCGGGAAATCGCCTAGTCTGGTCGCGCCGCCAGTCAGTCAAAGACTGATTATAATTATATATAATTATATTATATTTGTGTAACCTGAGTGTCTACAGACCCACAACATGTGAAATAAACCCATCCAGTCCTTTGTTTGTGGTCTGCACAAGTCTTACAACACAGAGAAAAATGCTCCTTTTCAAATGTGCTCTGCTAGTGATGTCACAGTGGGATTCTGTTAAAAAAAAATCCCCTCCCCTTCCCTGGTATCTCCACCCATCGACAACACCCCCAGCCTAGAACAAAACTTTTGTGCAGGTCCGCCATTTCTATTCTCGCTACAAAAGAGTGTCTACCGGCAAAACTCAGGGAGGGCTCATCACATTTAAAGAGACACACACACCAAAATGGAGCGTTCTGAGAGAGTTGGTTTTTACAGGGTCACAAAACTCCTCTGCTGCTTGATTCATGTTATATTTTGAACAAAGCATAACACAGATGTTTCATTTAGACCTTTAGACATTTAGACATTTAGACCACAGGGGACTGATTATCGCCTGGACAATTAGTCGGTCGGGCTCTAATCTTTGCAATCTAAACATCACATTTAAACATTGATTCTGGAATAGTGTCGGTCCAGTCACTTGTGAATCTCATTAAGAATAAAAGTCATTTTTTGCAAGTTTGCACACATGCATTAAGGTTTTAAAAACACCTCTGAACCTCATTGAGTATTTTAGAGGAAGTTGGTCTTGTTTTCTCACTGCTGTTGGGACACAGCTTCCTCTGAAGAAACAGGTCTGATTTTGACTTTTCTGTTTGATAAGACTTGTGTTAATCAGTGTACTTCTAGTGATGAAAGATACAACATTTGTACAAATTAATTTCTCTGATGGAATCCTTAAAAATAAACTTTAAAATAATCAAGCACAGAAACGCACACGTTACCATCATCATCATCATCAGAGGACCATAAATGACCCACACACACAAGTTTCAACATCATCATCAGAGTTTGATCTGTGACTGTAAAACACACACACGCACACACACACACGCATGCTAATCAAATCAAACAGATTTTCCAGGTGTATTTTAGAAAGGAGTTGTTCTCTCTTTACCTGCAGGACGGTCAGAGGAGGATGAAGATGTGTTTGTGTGTCAAACTGAAAGCTCAGTCACTCTGAAGGTATGAGAGACACACACAGGAAGTTAACCAATCTTAAGATCTGTTTGTGTCACACACCCTGCATGTTTCTGCTGCGTGTGTGTTTTCTGCTGTGTTCGCTTACACGCTGATATGGAAATGAAGCAGCAGTGCTCATTTGTTCTCCTTTTCTTATTTTACCAAATAAGAAAACTTTTCCCAAACTTTCAGACTTGAACATCAATGTGATTAAATACGTTCATTCAGACCATCGGATAAATGTTTTTCTCTCCTTGTAGCTTGCAGGTCACATCTAATAACACAGTTTACCGAATTAAAGAGAGTTTTCACACCTTCAAAAAAACCTCCTGAAGTGTTGGTGGTCAGCGTCACGTGTGAACACAAACAGCTGAATGTTTCTCTCTTCACCCGGAGTTTCTCCTCCAGCCTCCTCGTATTTATTCTGCAGAAAGTCAGAGTGAGCTGATGTGAGAACGCAGCAGGATATAATCAGGAGAATTCACCTGGAGCGAGTGGGAGGGGGTGGTGACGTTTATTCCCTGTGATCGCTGCACGACCATGGACTGTCTGCACGCCACCTCTACCATCTCCTTGCTCTAATGAACCTGCTGCATTATGTTTCCTGTTCTCCAGTATGTTCTTCTCCACTCTTTAGTTCACACTGAGATTCTGTTCAACTACACATAGCATTGATAGAAAGACACATATTCTCATTATAGCGTTGTATAGAGGACTCTGTTCGTATGCTCACGTCTTACCTCAGGAGACCCCCCCTCCCCCCTCCTGTCTGATAGGGATAGTCACCTGCTGTGAGGTGGAGCAGTCCGCCTGAAGTTATCTGAAATGTTCAGGAGTGCAGATGTGAAAACGAAGTGAGAGCTGCCAACACAAACTCACACCTCAAGTCACATCTTCATGATATCAGAGCTGTTTATTCTTTTGGTCTTTTTGTGGTTCAGATTCTGTTTTTATATACAAACTTTCACCTATTCTTATAGATCTTATCTTCAATCACCGCTCATGCTTTAAACTCTGACTCACTTTGAGAAACGTTTTTTTTTAGTTTAGTTCCAATAACGTCGCTCTGTGCGCCGGTTTCTGCTGTCACTTTAGTTGACATAAGATTAGTGCGATGGCAGACGTAACCAAAGTAGCGCTGGTGCTAACGTTGCTAACTGGACTTTTTACATGCTCACACATGCACAGTTACTCTCCACTATGCTGATGAGCAGAGACGCCTGATTGGACGACTAAAGCCTCAGTTTTAACAAAATCCCACCTACACGTCGACTAAATCTTAGCTTGTGCTCGCTGAAGGTTTCGTGCAGCCTGGTCTTGAGTCAGACTTAAACACACGACTTTCAGAGTGAAAAACCAACTCCTTACAAACTGAGATGTATCTGAATCTGAAGATTCCTCAGAGTATCAGGAGTACCTGAACACGTCAGAGTTAAAGCAGGTGAGACGTGCACAGGTTTAAGTTTTAACGCGGTCTATGTTTGACTCGGTTTAAGTTTGACCTGGTTTGACTTCAAACTGGTTTAAGTCTGTGACCTCTGATTGGTTAAACTTTGTGCGGCTCCAGTCTGATCTTCTTCCTCTCTCTGCATCTGCTTATTTCTCAGCGCTGAAGATGGTCCAGCAGTGAAGGACTCCACCTGGAGATGACGGCATGTGGGTTCGATTCCTTCCACCAACCACCTGAGGGAAGTCACACAAGCGTGTGTGTGATTTCATTTCCATCCGACTCGTAAAAAAATTTCCGTTGTTGCGATTTCTCGTCGATTTCAACTTGCGTCAACTTGCCTCCATTTCAACGTGTCTGAACACGGCAACCATCGAGGAGGGAACAGAAAAAGCTAAGAAAACCTGAGCCCAAGGATTGTTCAGCTAGTTTAGCTTAGCAAGCTAAAGCTAGTTGGATGGGCAGATTTGTTTTTTCTTTTTAGGAAATCAGAAAAGTTTGATTGTGAGAGAGGAGCTGATCATGCAGGACATAGCTTGTGTTTGGCGTCACGGCTCCGACCTCATCGCTCCTCGCAGTTTTTATTTCCATGCAGAGGTTTGAGGAGTGATGGGCTGATATTTGAAACTCCCCAGGCGGAGCTGACAGGTGGATGCTGGATGGAGGCGGGGCTGAGTGAGGGTGCAGGTCAGAGCTGGCGATGAAGGAGCACAGGGAGAGAGCGGAGATCTGTCAGCTTCAGTCAACGCTAATTGAAAGGAGGTGGCGTCAGGTGTGAAATCAGATCAGAACCAGTTGACTCCCTGAACGAGTATTTTAAATCACAAGTCTCCACCCACCAGTGCATCACCACACCTGTCCTTCAGGCCTGTCATTTCCATGTCTTCATCCAAACCGAGCCCGACCTGCTGCAGAGAACAAAGAAAACTTACAGGTGAGTGTTTAATGGACGTGCACCACGCTTTGGTTTTGATTCTCTTCCTATTTACCTTTTGTTGAGAGAGCAACACCTGAGAGTGTGGGTGTGAGCGTGCCGGTGGAGGAGCTCAGACAGGTAGGGGGGAGCACGTTTAGTGTAAGACTCATTCCCCCATGATGCACCACAGAACACCACAGCAGGTCAGCAAACTCTATGACTCCTCCCTCTGAGAGTCAAACACTCTGTGGACTACTTCACCCCAAACATCTGTAAACTCCTCCATTATTCATGATTTATTTAAACCGTGCAATATTCAATTATCAGTCCATTAATAGTTTTGTCTACATATCGCTCCTTCTGGTGCTTATCCCTTTACCTCCTAATTAAATGTTATTTATATTTAGGCCTATATAACTGTATTTCTGCTGCTAAAGTGTGTCAGAGCAGCTGTCAGTCCTCCGGATTAATAAAGTACGAGTATGTGGTAGGAGGGGGCCCTCTAGCGGCTAAAGAGGGAACAACATGTTTCACTGTAATGACCATAAATGGTAACGTTTCTGTGACGTGATGTCTCTGAACAAGGGTTTATATTAACGAGGATTAAGGATAAAGTCAGTTTATTTTTCGACTGTAAACAGACGTCGGTCATAAGGTTCAGAAAACAGAGCAGGTTATGATTTATATTCTTTGCTGTTATTCACCAAGGGTGTCTAGACCTCGTGGCGCAACGGTAGCGCGTCTGACTCCAGATCAGAAGGTTGCGTGTTCAAATCACGTCGGGGTCAAATTTTAAATTTTTTTGAGAGTTTTTAGATCTTCGTTAATTTCTGCTTACACGTCGATGTTTTTGTTATTTTAAAAGACGAACAGAAAAAACCTTAAAACGTGAAGAATTGGCACCAAGTCAGGTCAATAGATATGAATAAATATGAACTTTTAACACCTGGGAAACGTAAAAAATATAAATATTAGTAAGTCATAAGTTGGATTTGGTTAGAAAAAAGTCCTAATTATGATACGAATGAATAACTGGGACATAAGAAGTCATTATTAAAAGTTATTAAATGTTTGTAACAGTAAGAAATGTGAGATAAAAGTCACAGTTCTGAGATAAATGTTATAATTATTATTGGATAAATGGACTAATTGTTGTCCTAATTGATTAATATTTAATTTTTTCATGATCTAAAAACTTTTCTTTTTAATTAAAGTTCATACATTTGACATATAATGTCATTATTAGGACCTAAAAATGTCATAATTCTTACAAGAAGAAACTTTTATTGGAATGAAAATCCTTATTATAATATATTTAGTTAGAATTTTCAGGGTAGAAAGCCATAATCTTTGTCATAAATCATAATTATGAGTCTAAAATTAAGAATTTGATTCGATTGATAGTCTGTTTCACTTGATCTGGGAAGTCAGGAACGCCCCTTGAAGTCAAGAACTCGGAGAACCTTCAGTTGTCTGAGTTAAAACCAACATTATCCATCAACAGTAACGATTAAACTGTAACTAAAACGTATTTAATGATATCCCTTTAAATCCCCCGTCTGCAGCTCTTAATTATATATTCAAGTTTTATCAGTGACAACGAGGAGAGACGATATTTTTGTCATTAATACTTTATTAAAAAACACTTTTAACAAATAAAATGTACAGACACAAAAACAGAAAACATCCACAGGAAGTGATCGAAGTCGCCCGAGAAGAATTAGTAAATATCCACGAATTATCATGATGAAGATGATGAAGATGATTCTTCAGGTTTCTTCTTCATGGTGTTGTGATGAGTTTTAGTTCAGCTTACTGTTGAGAGAAAACAGAGAGATGGACGTTAGGTCTAAAGACTGAAGCCTGCATTCTCCCTAACGTCCAGCAGGGGGCTACCCTGGAGGTCTGTGATAAAGTGCTTCTATTGGTCAGTGGGTTTATTCCCTCAGTAACACGTTCATGGTCTCAATCTTTAGATTCAGAAGTCTGGTTAGTTTGCGTCTGACTGAAAAGCTCTCGCTCGCCTCTCGTCTCACCTCTTTGCCGGCGCAGGTGCCGCAGATGCATCCGAAGAGCCCGTTGACCATCTGGATGAGGCAGAGGATGAGCTCGAGGCAGGCGGCCACCAGCAGGATGGAGAAGAGCCCGACGTTAAACTCCACCACGTTCTTGGGCTCCTGGCAGGTCTCCCACGTTTTCATATCGCTCAGGTAGCTCTCGGAGCTGTGGAGGATGAAGACGCAGCGTTAGAGAGAAGACGATCATTAACAGCTTCACACGTCACAGTGAGGACTCGAGGTACCTGTTGGCGAAAGGTGTCCCCCATGTGGGGATCAGGTCGTTCTTGAGATACAGACACATCGGGCCGTTAACCATACCCAGACCTGCAACACTCAGGCTGTAGATGGCGCCGACGACACCGGCTGCTGCGAAACCGATGGACAGGAACATCTGCAGACAAAGAAGAGCGCAGTCTGAGTCACATGACTTCACCTCACGTGTTTATTCCAAAGTGACAATCAGGACGCAGGAAGTCATCGTCATGAGACTTATTTAAACTGGTTGAAGAGGAGCAAGATATGTGAGGATCGTTCCTTTTCATGTAACGATAAAATAAATATTATACCGTGAAGACTTACCCCGCAGCGGTTAGCACAGCAGCCCTTAGCACTGGTCAGATGGATGTGGATGGCAGGAATGAGGACCTGAGAGAGAGGGGGGGGGGAGAAAGAGAGAGAGAGAGAGGGGAGAGAGAGATAGAGAGAGGGGAGAGAGAGATAACATTGTTAATGTGGGGTCAGAAGAGTTGAGATTTAAACTTGTTCTCTGATCTCTTATTGATAAAAGGTGAACAGAAACTTCTGAACAGTTTTTGTTTTGTTTTTATTAAAGGATATCAAACTATTTTTAATCTCATGTTTTTCTGCCTTACTTCCTGTTTGGAAACTACTTGTACTTTGAAACTAAAAAGTAATTTCCTGTAAATTAAATGTTTTATTTATTTTTTGTTTTACCCCACAAATTTTTTTTTAGATTTTTTCAAGAGTTTCCGACAAACAACGAGCAGCCAAATGTACAAATAAAATAATTTCATTTAACGTTCAAAGACACGGGGCGTCTGGAGTCTAGCGGTTATTTTGTGCACACCCACGTACAGTGGTTTAAAGTCCTTGATAGTGGACGGCTCAGGTTCGAATCTGTCTTCTTTCCATCAGGTCTTTATTTTCCTCTAAAAAAAAAACATTAAAACTAAATAAATGTAAACAGCAAATATTTGTTAAGATCTCCCACAGCCATGAATACATGGCAGAAACATCTGCAGCCAGACTTCTCCGCCTCCAAGTCAACTTCAACTCTCGATGATCGCTACACTCACTCAAAAGAACGGTAGCAAAGGTCAATGTGTGATGTCATAGTACTTTTGACTCGTCAGCTGAGCTGTCTGAGAGTTTTAGTGGTGACCCCGTATGGTCTCTCAGTCGAGCACGAGGATCGTTCCATTCCAGCTGTGTGGGGGTGTTTAATGTCTAATACTACATAGATTTGTCTGTTTTAAATAATTGATGACTCATCGCCTCTCTCGGTATAAATCTAAACTTATTCATACTTTACTTTAAATCGTCTCCTCAGTGTGTGCATGAAGAAATCACCCCGATGTATCGATAGAAGCAGCAGATCCATGTTCGGAGGATTTTATTGGCTACAAGAGACGTCAGTCATCTGCACAGTCGCGTGTGATTGGCCGTCAGAACAGGGGGTGGCACCTCCTTTCAACAAATTGGCTGTTATGAGGTGTCATCAAAAGGTCAGCGGAGTTTGTTGAATCAGTCCATGGATCGTTATGGATGTAAAGAGTTTGGATTAATTGAAATGGTGGGGACTGGTTTCTGATCAGGAGAGTTCAGTCTTTAAAGGGTTAAAAGACGTTGTCTGTTTGTCGCTGGTCTGACAGATGCTTAGATTGTGGCGGCTGTGAGACGGCGCCCTCTAGAGGGTTAAATCTGAACAAACCTGCTCCTCTCCTTCAGATTCAGATCCAAACACAACGTTAAACAGCTGTTTTAAAGCAGCTAAATGCTGTTTGCTGTTTGATGATTTAAGTTCCTGTAATTCAGGTTAAAACAACATCGACCCCCTTAAAGGTTTGAGTGATGTCACTGATCCGTCTCCTCTCAGGGAGCTGCACGTTAAAGGACGACTGCATCGAGACGTGTCCTTTTCTCTGACTGTTTAAAGATCTTTACATCAAGCTTTTTAATCGTCTCCACTCGACCAAACTTGAACCAGAGGTAGAGGATCAGAAAGGTCAAAGGTCATATTGGTGTTTTCCCAAAGCGAGCTGTTTAGTCATTAAGGAGGCCGAATGTGCAGATCAATATTGACACACCTGTAGAGGACACGTCCAGGTGACTCAGGGACGAAGTCGATCTAATCAATGCGTGCGTGAACCTTCACTTCATGGTCTCCTCGTTTGAGGGACGAGTTCAGGAGAAAAGCTCTAAACTCTGTGTGCAGGTTTGTTAAATGGGAATATTGTATTCTGCCTTTCAAACAAAATGAACTTTTTGGATCATCTCCGGCTTCTGGAAAACATTGATTCACATTTCTGGATTGTTTCATCGACCGAAAAAATGATCGCTGAACCCTGAAAATAAATGTAAACTAAGCAGGATAATAATTTAGTTTTATAGATTGTGCTGAGGCGAAGAGAGAGACCAATCCTAAAAACTGTAACGCCGTTAGACAAACGCCAATCAGGGAGCGGATATTAGTAACTTAATCAAACGTGTGCTGATGCTTCGAGCTGTTCTCCATCATCACACTGACTGTAACCTCCTCACCATGATGCCTCCTCCGATCAGGCCTCCCATGTATTTGACCTCCTCCGTCAGCATGTGGTTCCCGTCCTTGTCAGACGAGGCGTACTTCGTCTTGAAGTCGGGGAAGAAGAGCATAATGTTACAGATCACCGACACCAGGGCCAGCACGTAGAGGGGCACGGCGATGAACTTGGCGCACGCTCCCGTACACATGATGTCTGCAGATTGAAAGAAGCTCTCAAAAAGGAAAAAAAAAGTAGTTTCAAATCCTGCAGGTCCTCCTCCGGCTCAAAGCGGTCACAGGTGAGGAGCAGCTTCAGGTGTCGGAGGAGTAGAACGGATCATCAGTTTAAATATATGTCGGAGGTTTCGCAGGGTGGAGCGAGTGAAGGTGGAGCTTTAGTTGATAAAGATATGAAGCCGGCTTATCGGCCCCTTTACGACCCGGACTATGTCATGGGTGGGTGTGTGTGTGTTTCCATTAGGCCATAAAAGACATCAGAGTACAGACGACAGTATTAACCCTTCTCATGAAGACGACCTGTTTCCCAAGCCTTAAGTCATTTTAAACATCGCCATGTTGGAGGCAGAAGTGACCATATTTGGAGGAGGGGGTGGAGCTGGAGAAGAGGAGGGGTTAGCAGATGCTACATGCTAAAAGCTAAACAGCCTGTTACAAACACATTAACTGGGTTATTATTTGGACACTGGAGGAACTGCAGCTTTATAACAGAGTAAATGAAGTTGTGATCCCCGACTGATCCTTTAATGATTGATCTATTCATCAAATACTTTTTGATACAATGTGTTTTAAAACGATACAATCTGTTATTTCATTAACCTATTGTATCTTTAAAGGAGCAATCTGTAACTCTGACACCTAGTGTTTAAAATGGGTACTGCAGTCTAAATTCTAAACATTGTAGAGAGCTGTCTCCCCCCACCCCCTCCTCTCTAGAGTCCATGCTCTCACAGGTCACCATGTGGTGGATACTGAAGCTTCAGTGTTTATCCAGCACTGCATGGGTCTGTAAACCTTTCTGTGTTCTAACCTCTCTCCATTTTTCAAAAGCATCTCCAATATTGATCCTAGTTTGAGCACGTTTCTGCTCGTGGAGCTTATTAGAAACATGCAGAGGCTTTTTAGGTCGGGTACAATCACTTCTATCTGAACCACTTCTCTTGCCCATTTCCATCACTGCAACACCTGTTGGTTTGACCTGATAACTGCTCTCATATCTGGCAAACCGAGGGGCGTCCAAAACGGCCATAACGTTACTTTGTCATTGTTGAGTGTGGAATGTGCCGGAGTTCGGCTGTGTGTGTGTGTGTGTGTGTGTGTGTGTGTGTGTGTGTGTGTGTGTGTGTCTCAGATGTCAGTTAGAGGCCAGCCTCACCTCCTACACATTTAAAAGGAGCCATAATTCACTGATAAGCTAATCAAATCATAAACACACACACACACACACACACACACACACACACACACACACACATACGCACACAAACAAAGAGTTAAAGTTGTGGGAGAGCCAATTGAACTTAACTGTTAGTAATCTTTGGCTGGGTGTCGCCACGCCAGGAGCCGTTTGACCCCAACTATCACCTGGCAACAATAAGCTCCAACAGCTGATCAGCGCCAGGCAGAAGCGGTAGATGTTAGCTAGGAGGCTAACACTAACGCTACTGATCCAACAGGCGTGTAATGATGTTGATCAGTCTGTGGAGGGCCCGCTCACTCATTTCTGTCTGCAGGCCTGAGCGGAGAGGATGGACTTTTCTCATCATTGGGGGGTTTTGTAGACAGACTATAGACACATGTTAGTGTTAGAGGAACATGGTGAAGAGGATTTAGCATCATATGTGACCTTTAAAGATAGAATAAGACACGTGGAGATGTTGTCCTGGTCAAAATGTTTATCATAAAATCTCTGAGATTTAAATCTGCAGGTCACTCCTTTCTTAAACTCTTAATAATAATTAATAATAATCTATAAACGTGTGCTTTATGACCCTCGGGGGGTTTTCTCTGTGACTCTCTGCTGAGGGTTGTCCTCTGTGTGCTCATTATGATAACACACACACTTTGATCCTGAGGGTGTGTGGCTGTGTTCGTCAGTCAGAGTGGTAGTACCAGGTACGCCCCACAGCTTTATATAACATCGATGAGACAATAAAAGTTTTTCAGTTTAATAAAAGCTCATAAACTTCAACGGCCTCACATAACTCACTGAAGGGAAACACGACTTCATATATCAGAGGGAGGAGCCGTGTGCATCTTCCTGTTTGTTACAAGAACTTCCAGAATTTGTAACAAGCAAAGTTCATTTATTAACTCGGGAGCAGGACCACGCCTAAACCACACCTTCAATCCTCTGACAAGCCGACTTACACCAAGCCGTCACACTCCACCCTCCGTCCTCTCATCCATCCATCCTCCTTCCTTCCTCATCCCTTCCTCATGTTCATTCTCCTTCCTTCCTCATCCCTTCCTCTCGTTCGTCTTATTCTAGGAACAGTCTGGGCCGTGATCAGCTCGGGCAGAATTACTCCTGAGACAGAACTAGTCTTAGTCTTGGTCTCAAGATCGATTTCGAGACCAGCTTTTGAAGGTCTCGTCTTGGAATCGAAAGTAGTTCTACTCGGTCTCAGACTGGGTGGACTCCGGATTTGAAATCAAGACCACAGCTGACGTCATAACTGTGATTAGAAAAGCGCCTCTTTACAGCCGCAACCTTCCCAGTGTTACAGTCTAAGTGAGTGACACGCCCCCTGCACACAAGATGATGGTTTTTCAGAGATATTTATGGTCTTGGTCTTGTCTCGGTCTCGCCCTGCCTTGGTCTTGGTCTTGGTCTTGACTCGGTCTCCGTCCCTAAATGTCTGGGTCTTGGAGGATTATGGGATGCATGGCGAGCAGGCGCAAGACACATGAAAGGGGCGGGACAAGAGTTGAACTTCAGTGAACAATATTCATATGAGTGCGATGCGAGCTGCGCGAGCCGCCTTTTGATTGGATATTCTGGAAAGGCTATTTTCCCCGCCATTCAAAGCGGAAACAACATGGCGCCTTTTTCTTAATATAGAAATACCTTCTTATACAACAGAACACTGAAATCGTGAGATATTTGTAATGTAGTTTCTGAATCTCCGCCCATTTGGCTTAAAGAAAAGCTGCTGTGATTGACAGCTGTCTTTGAGGCCAGGCAGGAAATGTACACGCCATGGTTCACGGCCACAAGCAGCCGGAAGACCACGTGACAAGCGAGGTCTGCGGAAAACGTTCTCAATGTGTCGTATGCAGCGGGCCGCAGCGTTCGCCTCGGGGGTTGCGTGCATGTTGTTTTGGTCAAGTCTTATCAGAGCACGACATGAGCGATGATAGAGAGGCGTCACCACGCAGAGCCACGCCTGTCTGTGTCTTTGTGTGTGTGTGTGTGTGTGTGTGTGTGTGTGTGTGTGTGTGTGTGTGTGTGTGTGTGTGTGTGTGTGTGTATTTGTCGTGTTCCTCACTATCTTCACATTTGAACCAAGCCATAATTCACTGATAAACAAAAAGCGTGTTGCCTTAGAGGACAGAGTGTATCGACCATGAGTTCATGTCACTGCAGAGTCAGGAGGATACATTAAGTTTTATCACCCATTAAAATAATTTATTTTGATTTCATTTTAATGAATCTTTAAAAACACGAGAGAAGCTTTAGCTCCTTCAGAGCGAGCGATGACTGATAGGCGGTGAAACAGAGTCAGCAGAGAGTTTCTGAGTGTATAAAGTAAACACCGAGTCTAAACTCATTTAGAGAAGGTGTTATCTGTTATCAGCAGCCCGCCGCTTGATGAGGTCACCTGCAGCACAAACCGTCCAGGAGCAGCTCCGACCAATCAGGGACCAGAAACCACAAACACATGTTACATTGCTCTCCACCAAACTACATAGATAAAACCTGTGATTTAAGGCCTTAGGACATGTGACTTTATAGGTTTAAATGTTACCTCTAATGTCCAGCAGGGGGCATCACTGGCTTTAAAAGCAGCCTGATTGTAAAGAAGTTTATGATTATGATTATGATTTATTGATTTCCCCCACGGGGGATCAATAAAGTATATCTTTATCTCTTTATCTTTATCTTTATCAAATGTTCCGACCTCTCCCTTAATTTATTCCCTCAGTAAATATTCTCCAAACGAACCAAAGTCTTCTTCCTCGTAGCAGGATGTTCATTGATGATTATGAGTCAAAGAGACAAGGAAGAGGGGGAGGAGCTAGGGTGGGGCTACCTGTGATTGACAGATTTTTTTAAATATATTTAGGTAACCTGAGTGTCTACCGACCCAAAAAATGTGAAATAAACCCATCCAATCCTTTGTTTGTGGTCGGCATCAGTCTTACAACAGAGAAAAATGCTGTTTCAAATTTTCTCAGTTTGTGATGTCACAGTGGGATTGAGGTAAAATAAATCACCTCCCCTCCCCTGATATATCCACCCATGGACTCCACCCCCAGATTTGAACAAAACTTTTGAGCAGGTCTCTCATTTTTATTCTCGCTAAAGAGGAGTGATGTCTACAGGGAAAACTCAAGGGGGTTCATTTCATTTAAAGAGACACACACACCAAAACGGAGCATTCTGAGAGAGCTGGTTTATACAGGGTCACAAACCTCCTCTGGTGTTTGACAGCGACTACAAAACGTGCTAGCATTAGTATTTTGAGCTTATGAGCAGGACAAATGAGAAGATGACACCCAAGAAAAACTTGTGCTAGAGAGACGAGGTGTGTTTGTTTTCTGGATTTAAATTATCTGACAGGGATCAAACGACTATTAATTGCAGAAGTTGTCAAGCACATGTTGTTGCCGGGGGAGACAACACTAGCAATTTATTCCAGAAAGCACGGCCTGGAACACCAAGAAGGTACGAGGGGACGATGACCACGTCGAGCGACACAGGTGAAAAAAAGAGAAACCAAAATCGCTTCAGATGGCGCTCGAGGGAACTGCCTGTGGGAAGAAAAGCAAACCGTGGAACGAGATCACAAACACACTAACCTTCCAGAGACACGGTCCCGCTTCACACGACAGACCGCCGTGCACTGGCACGGAGTCTGCATCGTGGTGCAGCAGCAGCGAAGAGGAAAAGTTAAAAGTGTTTACGAGTCATAACCAAAACAAACCTTTCATTTCTGCAGCAGAAGAGACCAAACGACTTCAGAGACTTTTATTTACACGTTTTATTTCCTCCTACGGGGACAAAACATTTCAGAGTGTGTGAGACTTCCATGAGAGATGGCGAGTGTTTCTGTCTGTGGCGTGATAGATTCTGTCCGTGTGGTGAAAACTCCGCCCACACACCGCCCAGTCTTTTTTCATCAGCTCCTCAGGACTCTGAACGGGACACCGTGCCCGGGGATGATAACATCAGCGGTGCGTAGCGCCTCCTGGCGGCTGACCTCCTGTACTGCAGTGTTCATGCTCAGGTCCCTCCAGCTGTCCTCGTCCGAGCAACATTCAAATAAGTCCCCCGCAACGAGCACGGTGCCCGCTGAGGTTCCCTTCACCTGCACGCTGACGTCCTGTAAGGTGTGTCCCGGAGTGGGAACCACACACACCTGAGGGAACGAGGAGAGAGCATTAGAACGAGACTGTTCAGATCATGACAGGTGAGCACACACACCTGAGGGACAGTGAACCACACACACCTGAGGGACAGTGAACCACACACACCTGAGACAGTGAACCCCACACACCTGAGGGACAGTGAACCACACACACCTGAGGGACAGTGAACCACACACACCTGAGGGACAGTGAACCACACACACCTGAGGGACAGTGAACCACACACACCTGAGACAGTGAACCCCACACACCTGAGGGACAGTGAACCACACACACCTGAGAGACAGTGAACCACACACACCTGAGGGACAGTGAACCCCACACACCTGAGGGACAGTGAACCACACACACCTGAGAGACAGTGAACCACACACACCTGAGGGACAGTGAACCCCACACACCTGAGGGACAGTGAACCACACACACCTGAGGGACAGTGAACCACACACACCTGAGGGACAGTGAACCCCACACACCTGAGGGACAGTGAACCACACACACCTGAGAGACAGTGAACCACACACACCTGAGGACAGTGAACCCCACACACCTGAGGGACAGTGAACCACACACACCTGAGGGACAGTGAACCCCACACACCTGAGGGACAGTGAACCACACACACCTGAGGGACAGTGAACCACACACACCTGAGGGACAGTGAACCACACACACCTGAGACAGTGAACTCCACACACCTGAGGGACAGTGAACCACACACACCTGAGAGACAGTGAACCACACACACCTGAGGGACAGTGAACCACACACACCTGAGAGACAGTGAACCACACACACCTGAGAGACAGTGAACCACACACACCTGAGGGACAGTGAACCCCACACACCTGAGGGACAGTGAACCACACACACCTGAGAGACAGTGAACCACACACACCTGAGGGACAGTGAACCACACACACCTGAGAGACAGTGAACCACACACACCTGAGAGACAGTGAACCACACACACACCTGAGACAGTGAACCCCACACACACCTGAGAGACAGTGAACCACACACACCTGAGAGACAGTGAACCACACACACCTGAGACAGTGAACCACACACACCTGAGACAGTGAACCCCACACACACCTGAGACACTGAACCACACACACACCTGAGACAGTGAACCACACACACCTGAGACAGTGAACCCCACACACCTGAGAGACAGTGAACCACACACACCTGAGACAGTGAACCCCACACACCTGAGAGACAGTGAACCACACACACCTGAGACAGTGAACCACACACACACCTGAGACAGTGAACCACACACACCTGAGACAGTGAACCCCACACACACCTGAGACAGTGAACCACACACACCTGAGACAGTGAACCCCACACACACCTGAGACAGTGAACCACACACACACCTGAGACAGTGAACCACACACACCTGAGACAGTGAACCCCACACACACCTGAGACAGTGAACCCCACACACACCTGAGACAGTGAACCACACACACCTGAGTGACAGGTGAGAGCGTGTTAACACCCACTTTAAAGGCTCCCTGTGTGTTTACATTAAATATAATAATAATAATAACTCACGTGCTCGTCTATGACGTACGCCTCTCCCTCAGACAGTTTGTTTGGACGGTACGTGTCTCCTTCGCTGACGTCATATCCCACTATCATAAGCGCGTGCGGAAAAAGACTTAGGTTTCCCACGTGGTCTGAGTGTCCGTGAGTCCCGACCACCAGTTGTACGTCCTCCGGGTCCAGACCCCGGTCCTTCAGGGCCTTCAGCAGAAAGTCCCGGTCCCACGGTCCCCCGGTGTCCACCAGGATTGTCCGGGGTCCGGTGATGAGGGAGACGGTCCCGTCCGCAGTGAACGAGCCGTCCGGCTGAGGGCGGCAGTACCCCGGTTTGAGCACTGACACGGAGTATGGTACACCGGGGAAGACTGTCTGAGAGTCCAGGAGAGGGAGCGTCTGTACCCCTGTACAGACCGCATCATGGCCGTGCCGGTTCATCACAACAAGCTACACAGGAAGAGCTATTCTTCTTCTACTTTAGAAATGATGGCGGTTAGCAATAGGCTCTGTTATGTTACCGCCACCGACAGGTACGGAGGGCAGGTTGAGGACACATGTTCATATAAAAATCAAACGAACATGTGCTTATATTTATTTATTTTATATTTACATTTAAATATGTCACGAACACACAGCTCCCCAACTTAACAGGAACAAAGGACACATCTAACAAAGCAGCAAGTGTGAAATCCTGCAGTTCCTCAAGGGTCCACTAGAGGCTGGTTGCAGAAGCATAGGAAGTCACATACACAACCATTCAAAAAAGTGTTTTCTTAAAGCTCTTTTACACCACAGGTCACACCTCCACATTCACACACTGATGGTAGTCTTTCCCAAGGAGCTGCAGGAGCTGGGGCTCGAACCCCGGACCTTCCAGTTGACCCACAGCGACCCTTTAAAAAATAATTCTGTGGACTCCCTCTCTCAGTAGGGATCCAAAGAAAGTCCTGGTGCACACTAATCTCTCTAGGCAAATTTAAAGTGGCGCAAAGGACGAACGTAAAATAATGATCCTCAGACCGACTCTCAGCAGAGATGATATTCAGACATCTCGATGTCGACTGTGATATTAATGAAATCTTTTTCTCAATATTCGAGAAGTAATTGTAATACTTGTCCAGTCCAGATGATCGCGCTACTACACCGCCTGTTATATTATCTCTATAGAGATTGATTTCAGACCAGGAAGTGTTTAAATGTTGACCCACTTCCTGTTGGATTTGAACGACCTTTGAACCTGCAGAATCATAAAGATTAGGCCTACATACATACAGAGATGTTTTTACAGAGCTCCCTCTGAAAATGATTTTCATTCTCTTAATGTTTGATTTAAAAGCCTTCAACTTAAGCGTAGACTGTCAGAAAAACAAACACACCCAGCTCTGAGAAATCAGACCATGTGTTGGTGTGTTGGTGTGTTTGTGCGTTGGTGTGTTGGTGTGTTGGTGTGTTGGTGTGTTGGTGTGTTGGTGTGTTGGTGTGTTGGTGGTGTTAGACGGTGAACTGTCTCACGATGTTGAAGTTTCACATTTACTGAAACATCACTGAGGAAGGGATCTTGATTTTTAAATGTGAAGTTCTCCATCGTGTTAGAGTATCAAAACAAGTAGCAGGCCCATCTGAAGAACGACCGGGCCCCTGAACACAGAGTGAACGGGCCCTCTGCAGACCTTACATCAGTGTATGCTAGTGATCAGAAGTGATAGCGATAGCCTCCGTGCTAACATTTGCATCATGAGCCTGGATGCCATCGGCTTTTGGAGCCGACTTAAAAGGTTTTTTGTGTCGTTGTGTCTGTGTTTGATGTTAAATGTCCGAGCCTCCTTTATTTTCTGTCGTTCTTATTGTGGTGTGGGTTTACAAAGTCCGACATTACCTGTCTAACCTTTGAGGTTTTACATTAACACCACAAACAACAAGGTTAACCATTTTCAGAAAGATGAGTTGGGGGGGGGAGGGGACATTTGCTATAAACAAAATATTTCTTAGTCAATAAGAAAGTGTGAGTATTCAGGTGTAAAACTAACTAAAGTGTGCTATCACGCTTAGGATTGACTATGTTTCGGTTAACAGTCATGGGCCCCTCATGCAGCATAAAACATGAGACTATTGGATGAAGTGTTTCTGATTGTAATCTGTGATCACGACTTCTACACTTTATCTGCAAACAGATTTGCACATTTTAATTGTTGTTGCTCTGAACTGATGTTTGTTTCTGAATCATGTCATGTTTATTATGGCGTGCTGCTGGTCACTCTTGTGAAGGAGGTCTTTATTTCAACGGGTTAATTTCCTGGTGAAAAAGAGAGATTGTTTTTCTTCCTTGAACCAGTTTGAACCAGCCAATGGTGAGAGTCCTCCATCGCCTTATTAAAGTTTATTGTGAGGCTGATTCAGTCATAAGGTGTTGTGGTGCGTTCAGAGTTCAGACTCCACACAGACATTCAGATAAACACGAGGTGAGTCATCTCAGAGCACACAGCTCAAGTTGTTTGAAATGTTTTCACACTTTGAGGGAAACTCTTAAGGAACGTGAAGAAGAAACAATCGATCAGATGGAGTTGGTACACACATGGTCTAAAGGTACACACTGTGTTGTTTGTGTTTGTGTGTCCTCATCAGGTGTGTGTCTCTAAGCAGATGCTGGACGGACGATGGCAGCGAACACATCGTCTCCTTCAGAGAATGAATCCTCGCTCGGAAAGAAACAGGTAAACACCGCCATAAAAGAAGTGACGGGAATAAATCAGTGCAGGATGTCTTTTTATTGAGAATCTTATAGATATTATTCAGACTTCATCTGAAGTCAATATGAGCACTAAAATGTCCAAATAATGAAAATTAAAATTAGAGACGGATATACATTTTTACACAGCAGAGAGGAGGGACTCACATGTTTTAAATTAAGTCAAAACATCTTTATACCATCTTCAGCCCTTTGTGGATGCTTTTCACATAAATCTTGATCATGCAGCTCTTTAAAGGTTGGTCCCATTGAAATTAAGAACCTCTTTTTCAAGGGAGACCTGGCCAAGACAGGCAGCAGCAGACACATAAAGTTCTTTAAAGTCCTCTCTGTGTTTCAGGATGGATTTGAACTGATTGAATGTTTTGTTCCCTTCAGTCTAAAGCTCTGCAGAGAATCAATGCAACGAGCTCTGTGCCCTGGCTCAAACCTACCTTCAGTGAGCTCCAGGTCAGCTGCAACTTCACAGAACAAGATGAGTTTTAATGAATGCATGCATTTATAGTTTTTAACTTAATGAGTCTGGGATTTGTCTCCTGCAGAGAAAAGACTCTGATAATTTGTACAGCACCTGTCCAGTCTGGAGCTCTTCTCCTACAGCAAAGGTGAATAAAACGTCAGAACAAGAATAATGTCATTGAGGAAATAAAACTCTAACCAATTCTCTCCCTTCAGCCGGATCTGAGCTCGATGCATAGTCTGTCCGAGTGTCTGCAGCTGCTGCACAAACTGGCAGAGGAGGTGAACAACATCAGCCAGGTAAGATGGTAGCCTTCCTCTGGTAGCCTTCCTCTAGCAGCCCTCCTCTGGTAGCCCTCCTCTGGTAGCCCTCCTCTAGCAGCCCTCCTCTGGTAGCCCTCCTCTGGTAGCCCTCCTCTAGCAGCCCTCCTCTGGTAGCCCTCCTCTGGTAGCCTTCCTCTAGCAGCCCTCCTCTAGCAGCCCTCCCTGGTAGCCCTCCTCTGGTAGCCTTCCTCTAGCAGCCCTCCTCGGGTAGCCCTCCTCTGGTAGCCCTCCTCTGGTAGCCCTCCTCTGGTAGCCTTCCTCTGGTAGCCTTCCTCTAGCAGCCTTCCTCTGGCAGCCCTCCTCTGGTAGCCCTCCTCTAGCAGCCCTCCTCTGGTAGCCCTCCTCTGGTAGCCTTCCTCTAGCAGCCCTCCTCTAGCAGCCCTCCCCTGGTAGCCCTCCTCTGGTAGCCCTCCTCTGGTAGCCTTCCTCTGTTAGCTCTCTTCTGGTAGCCCTCCTCTGGTAGCCCTCCTCTAGCAGCCCTCCCCTGGCAGCCTTCCTATGGTAGCCCTCCCCTGGCAGCCCTTCCCTGGCAGCCCTGCAGCATTCTGTCCTGAACCTCAGATAATGTATTAACCTCATGTTTGATTCAGATGTTTTCCATCTGCTTTTTGTTCAGATGAAGCGTGGCAGTAAGAAGGCAGCACCAGCAGGGGGCAGCAGAGAGCCGGACAGCCTGGAGATCAGCAGGAGTTTGATCCTGAACTGGGCCGCAGAGCTGGACCAGAACATGGTCATTAACCCTTCATTTTATGTTTTTCTGTCCTTCTTCTTTGGCTGTTTCTGTCATTGTCTGAGTGTTTTTTTTATTTTTACATCTGACGGCTAAAAGCTTGAGACCTCGTAGAGGTTAAGAGGGCGGGAGGTATAATGAGAAGCATGTAGGAGGACAAATTGGAGAGAACAGGTCGGTGTAGGTCTGAAGGAGATGGTACAGAGGTATCCTCTCCCGCCCTTTTCTTCTTCTGTCATTGTTTTACAGCGTGGTAATAACTCCCAGGTTCTCACTTTATTGTGTTCCAGGTAAACATGAAAATGAGGCCAACAGGTGAGAAGACAAACAGGAGACAGAAAGAGAAAACAGAGGAGGAGAAACTCAACGACAAGCTGCAGCGGTGGGCCGAGGAGCTGAGGGATGTGAAAGAGGTGTGTGTGTGTGTGTGTGTGTGTGTGTGTGTGTGTGTGTGTGTGTGTGTGGGACATCATGCATTTCCTAATAACATAAATCATACATTTTTGGTCAATGACTGTGTTAAAGTAGGGGTTAATGTGTGTGTGTGTGTGTGTGTGTGTGTGTGTGTGTGTGTGTGTGTGTGTGTGTGTGTGTGTGTGTGTGTGTGTGTGTGTGTGTGTGTGTGTGTTTTCGTTTGTTCGTCCAGGCTAACGGTGTGTCTGATGACGAGCTGAAGAAGCTGCTGTACTCCAGTATATCCAACAAGTCGAGGATGGCCGCCATTCTTCCTCTGCTGGAGTTTGTGACCTGGTCCCTGTTAGCAGAGGATAGTCAGGTGTGTATGACCACGTGTTTTAAAACGATGCAATCTGTTATTTTACTGATATTTAGTATCAGAAAGGTTTACAGACCGATGCAGAGCTGGATAAACACTGAAGCTTCAGTGTCCACCGCATGGCAACCTGCGTGAGCAGTGACTCTAGAGAGGAGGGGGGAGACAACTCTCTACAATGTTTAGAATTTGGACTGCAGTACCCATTTTAACCACTAGGGGTCAGAGTTACATACTGCTCCTTTAATTCTGATATGAGATGCAGATTTATAAAGACATTTCTTTAGTGTGCATGTCATTGCTGAATTTAGTCTTGGATGTTGGCTTTCATCTCTTGTGTCTGCAGTCGGATTTATGTTCAAATAAAATGTAATATTTATTTGGATGCATGTTATAGACACCATGTGTGAACTCAGACATGAAGCACAGAGCAGAAAGAAAAGGAGTCTTTTTACTGACAGCAGCTGACAGTAATGTTCGATCATTCTGACTCATCAGGACGCCATTTCCATGATGTGGCTGCCGACCAAACAGAAAGCCTGGAGGACGGGGAGCGGAAACCCCAAATACATCCCTAACTCAGGTGACTCAGCTGCTGCCTTTACTTTGAACAACTGACTTCTTCATCCTCTTTTTGTGCACCTGATGACCTGCATACACTTAGGCTACTTAACGGGTCACACTTCTGACTTTGATGGATGAGTGACGATTGTTTTTACTGCGTAACTCACTGTGATATCTCTGTTTGTGTTTCAGTGTGGCGGTGGATTCAGAGCGCTGCAGGTAATCTTTCTTCACATTCCAACAACAGACTGAGAATGAGAAGTGGACGTTGCTACCTTAAAATGAAACGTCTTATTCAGCGTTCTGTGTCGTTTACTTCTTATAAACATTCCTCTGCTGGTAAAACAGAAATAAAAGGTGTCATCTCTACTCATGAGATTTCTGTGTTTGTACCTCAGTGTCCTTCAGGTTGGACGTCAGCACCTGTCACCCCTGGCTCGCCGTGTCCTCAGACCGCCTGCAGCTCTTTGAGGCAGCAGCTTGCCCCCCAGCTCCCTCCCAAAGTCAGAGTGTCTCCCCCGAGTGGCCCTGCGTCCTGGGCGATGCCGTCATCTCTGCTGGGAGACACTACTGGGAGGTGGAGGTGTCGTCTAACGGCAGCTGGAGGATTGGAGTCATGTCCCAGTCTGCTCTCAGCAAGAAAGGCTCCACCGTGTCCCCCAGCAGAGGATTCTGGACTCTGTGGAAGGCGTCCAGCTTCTGGGCGTGCACGAACACGCCTGTTAACCTGGAGAAGGCGACTGTGCCTGCACGCATCGGGGTGTACGTGGACGTGGGGGAGGGTCAGGTGTCTTTTTATGATGCAGTTCAAAGGGTTCACATCTACACATTCTCTGATTCATTCAAACACAGTCTGATCCCCGTGTTCGGGTGGCTGGACGAAAACACGCTGCTGAAGATCAGACCTGCTGACCTGTCAGTCACTGCTCAGGGAATAGATGTGTAAGACTCTGTAGAAACAGATTTATGATTTTTGTTTCAGCTGTCTCTGCTGAACTCTGAAGTGAATCATTTAGTTTCTGTCAATCGTTGTTGTATCTTTAATCTCAGCACCTTCCAATGTCTGCACTCTTTTACATTAAAAACAGGAAATACAAACAATTTTTTTATTGTCTTCTATTAACAGAAATATCTGCCTTCATAGATTCAAAGAAATGCCTGAAGACTCAGACGAATCAATAACCAGGGAAGAAAATGTGAAAGTTTAAAACATGTAATAATAGACTCGCTAGTCTCGTACTTTTACTGATCTTTGAAAGGCCACATTAACAGCCAGCGGTTTTTATGTAAAACATAAAGAAATAATTATGAGGATGAACATGAAAACAGATTTTTTTTACATCAGCTGTTCTTGACTGGTCCAGCCTCAGGATCCATCACAAACTCCTTCATGAAAAACTGTGACCCAAATTTCTGTTGTTTTTTTTCAGCCAATCAGATTTATTTAGTTAAATGTGTTTGCAGTTTGGACGTCAGACGGAACAAAACAAAGGTGTTTAAAAAGCTCTCACAGACTTTTGGACAGAATTCTTTTTCCAGTCACAAATTCACCCCCACTGGATCCTGACCCACAAGTTGATAACCACTGGTTTATCATTTCTGATATGATTTACACATTTACCCATTTATTATTTAAAAAAATGACAACACATTAGTGTTCCATTCATGATTTAAATGATCAGTTAAATTAACACACACACACGTTAATTTAACTAATAATTTTATACATGATCTTTGTTTTGACAAATTTTATTTTACCTGGCTGATGTTTTAGTTTTTACTACTATTATTTTTATTTTATTTTATTATCATTATGTATTTGTTTGATAGTTGTAGTACTACTAGTAGAAATAGTAGTAGTAATAGGGATAATAGTAGCAGTAGTAGTTGTAATAATAGTATTAGTATCAATATTAACAGTAATGTAAAAGTAGAACTTGTAAAAGTCGCTGTTATCGTTAAAATATCAAAGCGGAACCTTTGCACCATGACACGGGCTCACTGCGCTGGTGGGAGTCTTTATGTGTTGTACATTCTACGGCTACGTCACTCCTACTCTCCAAAATGGCGGAGGGAGCAGCAGTTTCAGATGCAGGGTCGTCATTTATGGACCCTTTTAAAGGACTTTTGTTAACTTATTTCATGCCCGAAACATGTTACGACGAATTCTTTCTGAACTTCAACTTTCTGGACGGTAAGAGGATTTAATGTGAGCTAACAACGGCTTCACGTACTCTGTGTGTAACGTTCACCTCCTTCCGGTGTCAATAAACCGGCTTTATTTATATTATTTTGTATTTAATAATAATTTTCAGAATGAGAGGTTCATGGGGTATGTTTGTACTTTTATAGGAGGGCCAGATTAAAAATGTGAAGCTGTATTTTTTATCGTTTGTTCCTATCACAGGGAAATGTAGTTTTTTACAGTAGTCTCTCATTTATAAGACACACAGAGGTCACAGCAGTCTGAAGAGGGCTTGTTTCATTGAGATAATATTTGATCACCTCAGCTTTTTAGTTTGAGGGGGAAATGTTCTTAAAGTCCTTATAGGTGATCTCAGTTCATGCGTGTGTATTCGTGTTGGTTTCAGTCATTACAGCCAGCTTAACCACATATTTCTTATTTTTTTTATTTCAGTACCATGTCTGAAGGTTGTGCTGAGCAAAGGTTTGGGGATCGGCATCATCCTGGGATCAGTGATGGGTAAAAAAACCTCAACCCTCCTCTTCGTCTCTGTCTCTGACTTCACTTTAGGATCAGTTAAAGGAGCAATATGTAACTCTGACACCTAGTGTTTAAAATGGTTACTGCAGTCCAAATTCAAAACATTGGAGAGAGCTGTCTCCCCCCTCCTCTCTAGAGTCGATGCTCACACAGGTTGCCATGTCGCAGACACAAACAACACTCAACATAAAGAAAATTGCATACTCTGATTTTGTACATGACTACATTTCTACATGACGTCTCTTTTAGTCTGAAAGTCACAGCCTGTGTCCAGAGTGTTATATTTACATGTTGTTTAGAGTTTGGTTAAAAAATTATGAATTAGATTTTCACAACTTGGATAATAAAGCAACAAACGTTTATATCCAGGAGGATTAATTGCCCTGATATAGACGCTTAAAACAGGTACAACCCTCACTCATATGCACATGTTTCATACCCTAAACGAGTGATGCATCCTGTTTGTTTTCTCTCAATTAGAAAACAAACAAAGGTCAAATTATTTAGACATGTCTGCACATTTAAGGGTTAAAACTTAGACTGTTTATTTTATTTTTTTAGAGGGCAGACGGACCATGAATGTATAAAAACTTGTTGAGTTATAACTTCTATATTTTCACGACCGTTTTGTCAACAGTGAAGCTGCCTCAGATCTTGAAGCTGATGGGAGCAAAGAGTGCCGAAGGCCTGAGCTTTAAGTCGGTGCTGCTCGAGCTGCTTGCCATCACAGGAACTATGGCCTACAGCATCGCCAACAAGTTCCCCTTCAGGTCCGACACACACACACAGACACACACCACACACACACAGACACACACCACACACACAGACACACACACACACCCCCCCCCCCCCGTTTGTGCATGTTGTAATCACGGTGTGTAACACATTGTGTAACACATGCTGTCTCTTTCATCAGTGCGTGGGGAGAAGCGCTCTTCCTCATGCTGCAGACCGTCACCATCGGCTTCCTCATCCAACACTACGGAGGACGAACGAAGGGAGGTGAGAGAGTGTTCACGTTGATACCTCTCCTGCGTCCAGGCTGCCATGACAGACATCGATTAATTGTGTAAAGTTTGACAACAAATGCTCATCAAGGTTTTCCAGAGCTCAATGTGACAACTTTACTTTTCTTATTTTGACCAACAAATATTTAAAATTCTAAACTTTCACCGACAAACGGAAACCAGAGCGTGAACTCCCCCTCAAATGTTCCCAAAAATACCAGCAAAATTCCTCACCGAGTGCCAAAATATTGATCTATGAATCACTGAAACAAAGATCAATAAATCAGATTCATCCTGTAAGAGTAGAAACAAACACCAATGGTACAACCAGTTTCCTTTGGTCATGAAAACTGCAGCCACAACGCCATCTAGTGGCTTCTATAGGTGTTACATGTGACCTGCAGCAGTGCAACAACCAGGACGCCTTCAGGTGCACCATGCATGCCAGTCATGTTTAATGAACAGTAGAGTTTGTTGTTATCACCTAGTTTAACATGTTTTAGTTTTGTTATCATAATAAATCAGTTTTATCTTCAGTGGAATTGAATGTAGAAGAATCTAAACAGGCTCCGCCCCCTGTGAGTTTCTGACTGAATCAAACGGTCTCATCAGTGTGTCTCCTCTGTCTCCAGGTCTGCTCTTCCTGGTCGTGTATTTCCCTCTGCTGATCCTCCTCCTGTCTCCCGTCACACCCATGTCCGTGGTCACCGCCATGCAGGCCTCCAACATGCCCGCCATCATCATCGGCAGGGTAAAACACACTACAGCATACATGATCCTTTGTACACTCGTTTTTCATGTTTCTGCTGAAAGCGTTGGTAATTAAATTGACTTTAGTAAATGTTCGATGACATGGTGGTGGTTTTGGCGTTGGCTGCCCTTTGGCTTCACTTGTGTGCAAGACGCAAACACGGGACAGACTGACCGTGTGTGTGTGTGTTTCAGCTGATCCAGGCGGCCTCTAACTACAGTAACGGACACACCGGCCAGCTGTCGGCCATCTCCGTCTTCCTGCTGTTTGCTGGATCCCTCGCTCGCATCTTCACCTCCCTGCAGGTGAGAAAGTGTGTGTTTGTTCACCTGTGATGTTTAGGAAACACCTGAGCACTCTCACACACACAGACACACACACACACACACACACACACTCACGCACACAACACACACTCTCACTCTCTCTCACTCACTCACACACACACACAACACACACAAACAGACACACACTCACACAAACAGACACACACTCACACAAACAGACACACACACACATACACACACTCACTCACTCACAAACACACACACTCTCACTCTCACACACACACTCTCACTCACACACACACACACACACACACACACACACTCTCACTCTCAAACACACACACTCTCACTCTCAAACACACACACTCTCACACACACACTCTCACTCTCACACACACACTCTCACACACACACACACACACACTCTTACTCACACACACACTCTCACTCACACACACACACACACACACACAGACACTCTCTCTCTCACTCTCACTCACACACACACACACACACACACACACACACTCTTACTCACACACACACACACACACAGACACACTCTCACTCTCACTCACACACACACACAGACACTCTCTCTCTCACTCACACACACACACACACTCTCACTCACTCTCACACACACACACACACACACAGACACACACTCTAAAATAAGTTAAACTGTCGTCAGCTTGGGTTTATTTATTTGTTTTGTGTTGCTGCAGGAAACCGGAGACTCTCTGATGGCGCTCACGTACGTCATATCGTCGGCCTGTAACGCCATCATCGCCCTGCAGGTTCTCTACTACTGGAACAGCTCCCCGGAGCTCAAGAAGAAGAAGAAGAAGAAGAAGGAGTAGGAAGCAGAAGGACTGACACTAAACGTTTCTCTGTCCACGTCAAACTTCAGACTCTGAGAGTCGCTGCTGGACGATGAATCCAACCCGACGTGAACACGATCAGAACTTTCATCAACAGTTGATTTCTATCTGCTGCTGGCTTCACTTTCCTGTTCTTGCATTCCTCTACATCCACTTTCTCTCAGTCCAGTCCGGCTCGCACCACGGTTGTCATGATACCAGAGATTGTCTAGCAATATCTTTACCTGTTTGTTACCACGGCAACAGAAACAGAAGTCCAACAAACCCAATCATTGATCCTTCCTTGTTTTGATTTCTTTTGAACTCCTGCACACGGTCTAAACCAGTTTACCTTCCTCTCCTACGTAACGCTCGATTAGTCAAGACCACACTCACCAAGACCACGATGTGCCCGAGTTCACAGTGATCCAGGACCCAGACAAGACCAAGACATTTAGGGATCGA